TTCTGGATTTTACAGGGAGCCAGTGCAGAGAAGCTAAAACAGGAGAAATATGATCTTGTTTCTTAGTTCCTGTTAGTACACGTGCTGCTGCATTCTGAATTAGCTGGAGAGTTTTTAAAGACTTACTAGAGCTACCTGATAATAGAGAGTTACAGTAATCCAGCCTAGAGGTAACAAAAGTGTGGACCAGTTTTTCTGCATCTTTTTGGGTCAGGATAGGCCTAATTTTCACAATATTACGCAGATGAAAAAATGCAGTCTGTGAGGTTTGTTTTAAATGAGAATTAAAAGACATACACACAGCAACATGTAGATATTTGTGTGTGTGTGCGTGTGTGTGTGTGTAGGGGGGGTGTTGGTGCAGGGAGGGGGGCAGTGGATGAGTGTAGGGTTGAAGGGGGCGGGACCTGTGAACAAGGGGGCAGTGGGGGCAGGAGGGTGTAGGGTTGAAGGGGCGGGGCTTGTCCGCAGCCTCGTCCGTCCGTCACCTCCAAAAATAACCTGCAGTCCGATACCAGCTCTCTCTCTCTCTTTATGTCTCTGTTTATCTCTATGTCGATCCTCTGTCTGTGCTCTGTTACTGACACCCCGCCTCTTTCTCTCTCTCTCTGGATGAGCAGCCAGTCGGTGTTGATCGTCCAGACGATCTGGAGCACTGTGGGACCTGAACCTCCTGAACTGGCTCTTACAGATCAAAGACCCGAAGAGCTCTGGGTAAGATTTACTTTACTGAAAACTGTGGACTGTCCCTTTAAACAGGGACCTGGACTTGGACTCTAGACTAACTCTGGACCTGGACCTGGACCTGGACCTGGATTCTAGACTGACTCTAGACCTGGATCTGTACTCTGGTAAAATTTATTCTGACTGGAAATTGTAGACTGTCCCTTTAAACAGGGATCCTGGTCCTGGTCTCAGACCACAGACAGAGACTCTAACAGGTTTAAAATCATCTGATTTATTTGTTTTTATTTTTTTTTATTCTCAGTTTGTTTTGTTTCTTCATTGATGCTGAAATTTTATTTGTTTCTTTATTTGTTTGTTTGTTTTAGATGTTTTTTTAAACTGTTTCAATCGTCTGATGTTGCAAGTTATTGATGAAAGTTTGAATCAGCTGATCAGTTCACGCTTCTCTGTGACTGGCTGCTTCAAACTTTATTTTACTCTGTTGTTTGTCCGACGATGAAAACTGTTATATGGAGATAAATGCCCCGATCATGTGATCAGTCATGTGAACAATAACTGCAGTAACATTCTGTCATTTTTCAGACAAACAGAAACTTTAAACCATGAACAACAGACTGGACCAAAGAGGAGGAGGAGGTGGAGCAGCAGCAGCAGGAGGAGGAGGAGGAGGAGGAGAGAGGGAGTTCTTCCTCAGCACTCACCGCTGCCCTGAAGTCGACCTGCTGCCACATCACAGCTGTCAGACACAGATTCCTCCACCATGTTCAGTAGTTCCTGCAGAGACAAGCCGTGATGTCACCTGTCAAGGTCAGTCTGAGGAAAATTACCTGGACATCTCCTCCACCTGCCACTCTAAAGAAGAGGAGGAAGAAGAAAAGGAGGTAAAGGTGGAGGAGGATGAAGAAGGGAGCGTCAGCGACTGGTCGGAGGAAGACCTCTCCCTCCACTTCTCTCCGTCTGTCATCCTCCCGTCAGACGAGGAAGAGTCCAATCCAGAAAGCGGCTTCGAGTGTATTGACGTCACCATGGAAACACAGGTGAGCTTCATCGTCAACTACCTGGTAACATTTGGGGCATCTGTGAGTTGTTCACTCACCGCAAGTTTGGCAGTTCAATTCCCGTATCTTCCCGTCTGCACGACTGTGAAATACTGAACGTCACACTGCTCCTGATGGCTGAGTCAATAACCCCAACGTCGGCCACCAGAGTGCGAATGTGACTCGACTTTAAGTGGTTGAAAGACAAGAGCAGCGCCACACGAGCACAGCTCAACTGATCATCCCATCATATTAATCATTTTCTGTGTTTTCACCTGTCGTCCAGGTAAAAGGTTCAGAGGGGGAGGGGCAAAAAATGGTCCCAAAACGATTGATTCAACTGAAGAAGAAAAACAACAACGCTGAAAACAACACTGAGAAACTGCAGGTATGACTACTTCCTGTTCACCTGTCCGAATCTGTCTGTCTGCCTGTCTGTCCGTTTACCTGTCTACCTGTTCAGGTGATACTGAAGGACGGACCTGCTGAAGGGGGAGGAGCTTACAGTGAGGTGTCAGCCAATGAACTGCTCTGTCCTACCATCCATCGCTGCCCTGACCTGTTGCTACGGCAACACAGTATGCCCGCCTCCCTCCACACGCACTCGACCACCAGCAGTGACGTTGAAAGCTACAGGGTCTACAGGGGCCTGGTGGGAGGGGCCAGTCCAGGTAATGACCCCTGTAATACACCTGTCTACAACCAGAACCAGTTTTTTTTTGGGGGGGGGGGGGCAGCAGGGGCTGCAAGAGTCAGAGGGGCAACGCAGAACACGGAACTAAATCATCTCAACAGGTTGCCGGTCAGACCACTTAAAGAGGCGCACCCACTGGATCATGCAAAATACACCACACAAGGAGGAAAAGGGCACGAGTTTTCTAGAATATATATATATAGTGTTTCCTATACATAATCTAAATTTGCCCCACCATAGTCTCCAAAAATCGGCCAAATATAAAATGCCTCTGGTAAATGAATGTCACTCTGTAGCGCACCCACTGGAGGCCTTCTGAGAACTCTTTGGCTCCCCCTCCCTCCCCCTCACCCTCCCCGGCCTCACCCCAGACGTCGCTCTGCTAACGTGAGCTTGAGTTGATAGAACAGAACGCATTTCTAAATGGAATACTGAAGGCCAAAACACACCGGCGGCGTACGACGTGCGTCAAAACAGCCGCCCCCATTATTTTCTATTTACAAACCCGCACCGCCGGCGGCTCGACGTGTGCCGACGTGCCGGTGTGTTTTGGCCTTTAGGAATACTGACATCTACTTTGTGAGGCATTCTTGAAAACACTGGGAAAACATCAGTAGAGAATTGTGTGGCTGTATTTAAGACAACTCTGAGCATGCACAGCAACACACAGCACCACTGAAGTAAGCTCTTTTTCTTTCTTATTTGGCTCATGGTAGTTACATGTCACATCATGTTGATGGAGCAATGTGAAATACGATCTGGAGTTTTCATGGGTACTTTATTTTGAAAATCAACTGTTTGACTCATTTGGTCTGTGCAAATTGACGTGCTGTCGCGCGGCATCCATCAAAAATAAACCCGTTGTGTATTTGTAGTGGAGCAGAGCACCGAGCCACTTCTAGGCCACGGCTGGTGGAGCAGCTTACATTGACTTGAATGGCCACTACTAGCTCCGGCACCCGCGCCTCGGCTGGATCACGCAGGCCATGGATCCAGTGGGTTGCCATAAATGGGCCTGTCCCAGAGGCATTCAATTACCAGAGGACTTCTGAAATCTTCTTTTCGAAGCCACATAAAATGAAATGCTCTGACTCAGGGTGCCATACTTGCAAATCGTGAGGGAGGGAGGGAGGAAAGCAATGATTTGTGTCTGTTTGTGTGTAATTAATTTGAGTCTTACCTTTTGTTTTCTTTTGGTATTGCGTATTTTGTATTGTTTTGCGTATCTGTAACTGTGTTTGAGTGAGAGAGTTTTAAAAGAATATTTTGTCTGCACATGATTTCAGACAAAAAATAGACCTCCATCAGTACGTCAGTCATTTTTCTTTTGATTAGTGAAATGTTTAACCACTTATCCTTAGCTGTACTTTAAGTGTCACCCTTCACCATAACATACCACTAGTGTTTTTATCAGTAAAAATAGAACATATTTCACACATAAAAAGCACAAAGATGTTGAAAACTAGGCATATTTTGCCATCATAACTTTGCTCTCAGAATTCACCAGATTGATGCCTTTAAATCAAATATATACAAAATTTTCTCCCGGGGGATATATATATACTGTATATGTATGTATGTTATTGTTCAGACTTAGATATTTGACCCTATTTCAATCAATCAATCAATCAATCAATCAACCAACCAACCAATCAATCAATCAATCAATTTTATTTATAAAGCCCAATATCACAAATCACAATTTGCCTCACAGGGCTTTACAGCATACGACATCCCTCTGTCCTTATGACCCTCACAGCTGATCAGGAAAAACTCCCCAAAAAAACCCTTTAACGGGGAAAAAAAAAACGGTAGAAACCTCAGGAAGAGCAACTGAGGAGACGTGCAATAGATGTCTATGTGATACTTGTATGTGCCCCTGTATCAAAAGGACTAGCCCTAGCTTGGCCCCCCCATTAAAACTGTCCTAGAACCGCTACTGTCTATTTGTCATCTGAGAAGTATCGACCAATCACGTCTGAAGATTGATCGAAATTCAATCACTGAACCTGTGGGCTTCGTCTGACGGTGGTTTCACTTTTTTATTTTTGTCTTCATTCGCACGTAGAAATCTATGATTACCCACAGGGAGCGCCCAGAAAAGGAAGTCTGGGCACTGAAATATCTGCCTCGGTCGCTAAACACTCATCATTGTTAGACTGATAGACAATGCTCCTTTCCTCACCTGAACCTGTCATAGTACCCCTCACCTGTACCTGTCGTAATGCCCCGTCCCTCACCTGTACCTCTCATAATGCCCTGCCCAAACCCTGTACCTTTAAAGAAAAGATGACTCCTGCAGTCACTTTTACTCTGCTTTATTTATTTGTCAACATTTCGGTCAAGCATGGACCTTCATCAGGACATCCTGTTCGTTCAGTCAAGCATGGACCTTCATCAGGATCCTGTCCTGATGAAGGTCCATGCTTGACCGAAATGTTGACGAATGAATAAAGCAGAGTAAAAGTGACTGCAGGAGTCATCTTTTCTTTAAAAGTACAAGTCCAAGGGGATCAACTCCCAGCACCACAAAAACACCAGTGAGAATGTGCATGTTAATTGGACTTTGAAGACTTTACCTGGGATCCCCAACCCTGTACCTGTCATAATAACCTGCCCCTCACCTGTATCTCTCACAACGCCCTGCCCCTCACCTGTATCTTTGGTAACGTCCCGCCCCTCACCTGTACTTGTCATAATACCCCTTACCTGTACCTGGCATAACACCCCTCATGTGTACCTCTCATAATGCCCTGGCCCTCACCTGTACCTGTCATAACACCCCTCATCTGCACCTGGCATAACGCTCCTCACCTGTACCTGCAATAACTCCCCTCACCTGCACCTGGCATAACGCTCCTCACCTGTACCTGCAATAACTCCCCTCACCTGCACCTGGCACAATGCTCCTCACCTGTACCTGTAATAACTCCCCTCACCTGTACCTGTCATAACACTCCTCACCTGCACCTGCCATAACACCCCCCACCTGTACCTGTAATATCTCCCCTTACCTGCACCTGTCATAATGCCCCTCACCTGCACCTGTAATATCTCCCCTCACCTGTACCTGTCATAACACTCCTCACCTGCACCTGTCATAACATCCCCCAACTGTACCTGTAATAACTCCCCTCACCTGCACCTGTAATAACACTCCTCACCTGCACCTGTCATAACACCCCCCACCTGTACCTGTAATAACTCCCCTCACCTGCACCTGGCATAATGCCCCTCACCTGTACCTGTAATATCTCCCCTCACCTGTACTTGTCATAACACTCCTCACCTGTACCTGTCATAACATCCCCCAACTGTACCTGTAATAACTCCCCTCACCTGCACCTGTCATAACACTCCTCACCTGCACCTGTCATAACACCCCCCACCTGTACCTGTAATAACTCCCCTCACCTGTACTGTCAATAACTCCCCCCACCTGTACCTGTAATAACTCCCCTCACCTGCACCTGTCATAACACCCCTCCCCTGCACCTGTCATAACACCCCCCACCTGTACCTGTAATAACTCCCCTCACCTGTACTTGTCATAACACCCCCCCACCTGTACCTGTAATAACTCCCCTCACCTGTACTTGTCATAACTCCCCCCACCTGTACCTGTTAAAACTCCCCTCACGCGTACCTTTCATAACACCCCTCATCTGTATCTGTCATAACATCCCTCATCTGTGCTTGTCATGGTACCCCTCACTTGTACCTGTCATAACACCCCTCACCTGTGCCTGTCATAACGCCCCGCCCCTCACCTGTACCTCTCATAATGCCCTGCCCCGACCCTGTACCTGTCATAATGACCTGCCCCTCACCTGTACCTGTCATAATGCTCCTCACCTGTACCTGTCATAATGTCCCTCACTTGTACCTATCATAACATCCCCCTCCTGTACCTGTCATAACATCCCTCACCTGTGCAACTCAAAACATCCCTCACCTGTGAATCTCATAACACCCCGCCCCTCAACCTGCACCTGTCATAACATCCCTCTCCTGTACCTGTCATAACATCCCTCACCTGTACTTGTCATAACATCCCTCTCCCGTACCTGTCATAACATCCCTCACCTGTGCATCTCAAAACATCCCTCACCTGTGCATCTCATAACACCCTGCCCCTCACCTGTACCTGTCATAATGCCCCTCTTCTGTACCTGTCATAACGCCCCTCACCTGTACCTGTCATAACGCCCCACCCCTCACCTGATCCTGTCGTAATGCCCCCCAACTGTACCTGACATAACGCCTCTTACCTGTACCTGGCATAACACCCCTCATCTGTACCTGTCATTACACCCCTCACCTGTACCTGTCATAACATCTATCTCTCTCACCTGTAGTTACAGGTGTCCACAGCTGTTATGTTAGTCAGGATCTATTACCTGCAGCTGCTTCACAATCAAAGCTTTATTAACAAGGAAAGACTTGTGAAGCAGCTGAATAAAGTTTTTTAATTAAAACTTTGTGACATTTTTGATCAGCTTGTTTTGAATCTGACAGACTCAAACGATTGACACACCTGGCTCAGGTGAACTTCCTGTGGGCAGTCTGAAGTCGTGATCAGGTGTATTTCTGGCTTTCAGGATTTGCTGTCGGAGATGTTGGAATGTCGCCGAGGCAGCGACTGCAGAAGTCATTCTCTTTGGATGAAACCAAAACAAAAATGGCATCCTCCATCATTAAGAGCGTTCTGTCAAAGAAGATGCAGGTGGAGCAAAACACCTGGAAAACCTCCGACCTGCAGAAGAAACCTGAGATGGGCCTCCATCAGCAGGGGAGGGAGGGGGGAGGAGGAGGCGTGTCTAAAGCTCCAGTTCACATGATCAGAGATGTGAGGAGTTTACTTAAAAACACCTACAGCCTGTCATTCTCCACAACAACAACACATGACAATAACAACCAGACATCAAATTTCAAGTTGATCACTCAGCAGGACAGCCCCCCCCCCACCTACCAGCAGGCGGTGGGGGTCAAAGATTCACTGAATGCCCGAGGACATGTCACCAAGGTTACTGCAGCTCTCAGCCAATCACAGGACAGGGATCAGAGCAACAGACTCAGTCAACAAAGACGCGGCAGCGAGCCAATGATAAGAGAGGCGGATGATGTCACCTGGCCTGTCAGCAGCGACCAATCAGGGAGAACCGGAGGTGTGAGTCACCAGGCTGGGACCTCCCTCCCCCCCTCAGTGTTTGTCCCACCCCCACCTCCCTCCTCCCTCAGACACCCCCAGGGGACCAAGCCTCCACCCTCCACCCAGGATCAGGATCTGGTCCTGGGGTTAGTGTCTCAGTCTGCCCCAAAAACCTCGCACCAAATCCTACACCCATGTTTCTACACCCCCTCCACCCTGCCGGTTTCCCCCCCCACCCTGCAGCCCCCCTCTGCCCTGCCAGTCTTCCCCCCCACCCTGCAGCCTTTCTCTGCCCTGCCGGTCTTTGCCCCCACCCTGCAGCCCCACCCGGAGAGAGTGAGCTTCATCCGGACCGAGCTGCGGGCGGTTCCTCCGCTTCGCCTACTGAAGAGGTCTGAGGAGAACTGGTTGACTGGGAGCACTTCCGACCACCTGGACGCCTTCATCAGGACCAGGACTGCAAGAGACCATGACAACAACAGCAACACAGTGACACCTGCATCACAGGAGCAACATGAGCAACACAAGCAACATGAGCAACAGCAACCTCAACAGCAACTTCAGCAGCAGCAGTTTCTGTGCAGCCTTCAGGGTTTCTTACCTGCACAGGTGGGCAGTGACTTCCTCATCGAAATCCCAGGTGCTGTTGCAGCACCTAGGGCCCTCCTCAGTAGCCCCGCCCCCCATGGTGGTCCCGCCCCCATACACATGATGCTAGAACCGAAAAGTGGGCAGTACTTCTACGTGGATGCGCCCCCACCACCTCAGAGGAAAATGCTGCTGGATCCAGAAACTGGTCAGTACATCCAGGTGTTCCTACCTGCAGCCAGATCCGCCCCCAACACCGGCGTGTTCCCAGTGCACTGCGCAAACTCCACCCCCACTGTGACGCAAGTTTCACCCGCCATGGTAAACCCCTCCCCCACCATCCTGTCAGTGATGCAGTTCCAGCCGACGGTTGCCATCTCCTCTCTGTACGCACCACCCTGCCTCCCATCCACACTGCACCGACCATCAGTGAACTTCTCCCATACAGCACCGTGATGACATCATCATCTCCATGCAGATCAAACTTCCTGTTTTCAGAGTTCAGTAAAAATCACGATATCATTAACAAACTGTAAATCATAAACAAACAACAACAAATAAACATGATTGTTGAACTGAGTCTGCGCAATATCACTTTCAGTGTGATTATTAATTATCGATTATTGATAATCGATAATTGGTTACAGATGTATCTGTCGTCATGACATCATTTCACCTCAGACTGTTTTTGGGTTGTTGTTTGATTTTATTTTTGGAAGTTGATGACCTGAAACCAAAAACACACAAAGAAGAGATAAATTCATTTATTTTATTTTTGCATTGTGAAACAATATGGAATAATCACATCGTTAAAAAATGAAAACAATCACACAAAAACAATATTATATTATACAATAATACAAAATTAATATAGCTTAAACTTTAAGAACCAGAAACACAAATACAAACAACAATATGACATCATACGATTATTTATTTATTGATTTATTTACGTTCATGATTTTTATTAATAAATCAAAAAATAATGTGCTGTCAGTTCGGTGTGCTGCAGGGCTCCATACTAAGAACCAGTTTATTTTCAGTACTGGAAATTTTACTGTTTGGAAAACACTACACGTGTCTCTGTTACAGTGACAGAAAATAGTTTTAATATTTAATATTTCCTGTTTTTTGTTTCTTTATTCAACAGAAATGTTTGATCAAGTTTAAACTTTTGATCTCATGTTTTAATCTTTTGATCTCGTTTTTTTAACTTTTGATCTCATGTTGAAACGTTTGATCTCATGTTTTTAACTTTTGATCTCATGTTTTTTTTAACTTTTGATCTCATGTTGAAATGTTTGATCTCATGTTTTTAACATTTGATCTCGTGTTTTTTTAACTTTTGATCTCATGTTGAAACATTTGATCTCATGTTTTTAACTTTTGATCTCATGTTTTTTTTAACTTTTGATCTCATGTTGAAATGTTTGATCTCATGTTTTTAACTTTTGATCTGATATTTTTTAACTTTTGATCTCATGTTTTAAACTTTTGATGTTATGTTTTTAACTTTTGATCTCATGTTTAAACTTCATGAAAATGATTTGATAATTCAGGTTTATTCTGTCTTCACCTCTGAGACGACACAAATACATAGGGTTGTTTTTCTTTCACTTTGATCGTCATTTTCACAAAAAGTTTTCAGGTTGTGAAAAGTTTAAAAAAACAAACATGTAGTTTAATATTAAAAAAATGTCATGTTGATGAAGAAAGGTTTGTTTTGTCACTTTTTGCTTAGTTTTGTTTTTACGGTCACACTATTAAAAATATTTTTTATTTTTTGATGTTATAAATAAACATAAATGAAAACTAAGAATTTGTTTTGTTTGTTTTTGTTTTGTTTTGTGTATCCTTCCTGCTTATGGTGTAAATATACTGAGGTATCCATGGCAACAGACACCATCGTGAGGAAAAGTACAAACAATAAAAAATGTTATGATGAAACAGCTGTGAAATTAAGATTATAAAGTCCATTCAGTTTTAATTGGACATCGTGTACTCATTGAGCAATGACATCACACTGAGGTGCAGTTCTGATTGGCTCATTGACCGAGGCAGTTTGTTGACTTTAGAATGAGACTGAAACTGATCGTCATGTTTCATGTTCTCTAGTCTCGCCACCAGACAGTCAGAGATCTCCGCCTTCTGATAGTCTGGGGACACCCCTTTCTATAGTGTGTTTAACACACTGGCGAAAATGCCTCTTGCATTTTTGAAAAGGACACACCTTCTCGGAAATGTGCGCTCCCCCTTTTCTCGTCCGCAAGGAAACAAACACACAGAGAGCTTGAAAATTGATGCCGAGAGATTAAACTGTGTTTTATCAAACGTGTGCTCATCTGTGAAGAAAATATTTTTTCCAGCGGATGTCTTAGTTATAACTTGATTGAGCTAACTGGAGTAGTTTCATGTCGTATCCGACAACGGGAGGCTTTTAACAGATGACGTCCTGATGTTAGCTTTGCTGCTGCTGTTAGCTGTCCCTGTCAGCTGCAGCCACTGCTGCTTTCTAGACATCGTGATTTCCCAAGACTGAATAAATACCACACATAGCAACACAAAACTGCTTTGCTAGCTCAATCATGTTGTAACTAAGATAACCGCTGGAAAAGATATTTTTTTCACGGACCGTTTAATGAGTTATTACCTATTACAGACATCGCTAACGGCTAACAGAGCTAACAGCTAACGGTTAGCCCAGCTAAACGTGCACACAGAAATAGTAATGTTTGTTCAATCATTGTGTTTATAGACTTTACAAACATCAGATTAGTCTAAACGGTGATATAGTGATGTGAAAAATGTGATATATATACATATATATATATATATATATATATATATAGCTAAAAGCTCTGCTGGTTTTCTACCCGGAAGCATTTGTAAACAACAAGGCGATTCCCTCTATAGTCCTGCCAGACGGATGAATCATGGCCTTGTAAAAGATTATGTTTGTTTCTTTTAGTTGGCGAGAATGTGTCGCCGCAAACGCGACAAACATCAACTAACTCTGACAGCGTTTTCTGCGAGCGCAACTTGAGCCATTTTGTACCGCTACACATGTTTCTAGTCGGACTATGTTTACGAGCACAAGCACAAGAGTTCAGCGAACCACCAAAGGACCGCCCTGCAGATTTACCATTGGTTCTGCAACGTAGGGAGTTTTTTTAAACTCTGAAATTGTATCCGCCCATATAAACACAAAATCAGGGAGAAAGTCATCAGTCTTTAGTTAAGCAAAGCGTCTAAAGACTGACTTGTGAGTCTACATGTTGTCAGTCTGATTCATTCATTCATTTATGTCTGACCACAGTTGGAAGGTAACTGACCTGAGTACTCAAGTAACTTCACACAAGTTCAAATTCAAGATACTTTTACTTTAGTATTTCCATTTCCTGCTCCACTATCTGTCCAGTAAAACCAATGCATCTCCAGATGTTGGATGTTTGTGATAAACTGAAGAATGAAGTGTTCCTTAATGTGTTGGATGTTTGTGATAAACTGAAGGATGAAGTGTTCCTTTATCTGTGGATGTTTGTGGTAAATTGAAGGATGAAGTCTTCCTTTATGTGTTGGATGTTTGTGACAAACTGAAGGATGAAGTGTTCCTTAATGTGTTGGATGTTTGTGATAAACTGAAGGATGAAGTGTTCCTTTATCTGTGGATGTTTGTGATAAACTGAAGGATGAAGCGTTCCTTTATGTGTTGGATGTTCGTGATAAACTGAAAGATTAAGTGTTACTTTATGTGTCAAACTGTCATCTCTGATAAAACTACAGATCATGTCACAGGTGTGATTCCTTCTCAGTCAACATCGACTTATGACATCATCACAGTCACACCTTCGTACTGGGCTGGCTGATGTCAGCATCTTCCTCCTCTTCCTCCTCGCACGGCGGCGGATCATCAAACCCCTGAAAACCTCTGAAGGAGGGGCTGATGGGAAACCGTCTGAGCCAGCTGGTCCGTCTCACCATACCCATCCCTAGAGGAAGGTCATAGGAGGAAGAGGAGGAGGAGAAGGAAGAACTCCACTCAACCAAACCTCTCTCCTGTTTGGAACCTGGAGACACAAAGAAGGAAATATGCTGTAAATACAAACACACCACAACAACAAATGTCCAAACACCTGCAACGAGTCAGCCCAACAATGTTTTTACACCTTCAGTCTGAAACAGCTGAGGTGTTCACCAGGAACTAATAACCAGGAACTAATGACGACCTAGGTGTTGACCAGGAACTACTAACAGCTGAGGTGTTCACCAGAAACTAATAACCAAAAACTAATAACTGCTGAGGAGTTGACCAGGAACTAATAACAGCCGAGGTGTTCACCAGGAACTAATAACCAGGAACTAATAATGGCCAAGGAGTTGACCAGGAACTAATAACCAGGAACTAATAACGGCCAAGGAGTTGACCAGGAACTAATAACAGCCGAGGTGTTCACCAGAAACTAATAACCAGGAACTAATAACAGCCAAGGTGTTCACCAGGAACTAATAACAGCCGAGGTGTTCACCAGGAACTAATAACCAGGAACTAATAACAGCCGAGGTGTTCACCAGGAACTAATAACTAGGAACCAATAACAGCCGAGGTGTTCACCAGGAACTAATAACCAGGAACTAATAACAGCCGAGGTGTTCACCAGGAACTAATAACCAGGAACTAATAACAGCCGAGGTGTTCACCAGGAACTAATAACCAGGAACTAATAACAGCCGAGGTGTTCACCAGGAACTAATAACCAGGAACTAATAACAGCCGAGGTGTTCACCAGGAACTAATAACCAGGAACTAATAACAGCCGAGGTGTTCACCAGGAACTAATAACCAGGAACTAATAACAGCCGAGGTGTTCACCAGGAACTAATAACCAGGAACTAATAACAGCCGAGGTGTTCACCAGGAACTAATAACCAGGAACTAATAACAGCCGAGGTGTTCACCAGGAACTAATAACCAGGAACTAATAACAGCCGAGGTGTTCACCAGGAACTAATAACCAGGAACTAATAACAGCCGAGGTGTTCACCAGGAACTAATAACCAGGAACTAATAACAGCCGAGGTGTTCACCAGGAACTAATAACCAGGAACTAATAACAGCCGAGGTGTTCACCAGGAACTAATAACCAGGAACTAATAACAGCCGAGGTGTTCACCAGGAACTAATAACCAGGAACTAATAACAGCCGAGGTGTTCACCAGGAACTAATAACCAGGAACTAATAACAGCTGAGGTGTTCACCAGGAACTAATAACCAGGAACTAATAACAGTCGATGTGTTCACCAGGAACTAATAACCAGGAACCAATAACAGCCGAGGTGTTCACCAGGAACTAATAACAGCCGAGGTGTTCACCAGGAACTAATAACTAGGAACTAATAACAGCTGAGGTGTTCACCAGAAACTAATAACCAGGAACTAATAACAGTCGATGTGTTCACCAGGAACTAATAACCAGGAACTAATAACGTCCGAGGTGTTCACCAGGAACTAATAACAGCTGAGGTGTTCACCAGGAACTAATAACGTCCGAGGTTTTCACCAGGAACTAATAACCAGGAACTAATGATGGCTGAGGTGTTCACCAGGAACTAATAACGTCCGAGGTGTTCACCAGGAACTAATAACCAGGAACTAATGATGGCTGAGATTTTCACCAGGAACTAATAACCATAAAGTAATGATGGCAAAAGTATTTAAAGAATTAGTATTTTAAAGTATTTTAAAGTATTTAAAGATAAGATACACCTTTATTGATCCCACAATTGAGAAAATCTAGTGCAGCAGTCAAGAAGAAAGAGTCAGATAAAAAATTTCAAAATTTAAACTCAAAACTTGAAACTGGGCATGCAAAATGAAGTACAAAAATACAAGAAGAGGTGTGAATTAAAGAGAGCGTATCTAGTGCAAGTGATTGTATGTGCAAAAAATAGCAAACAACAACAAGGGGGGCAGTAAGCCTATAATGGTGTTTATAAAGTGTCCATGGTGCAGTTTACTGTGAGCAGTGCTGGTTATGTAGCCTGACAGCAGCAGGCAGGAAGGACCTGCGATAGCATTCCTTCACACACTTTGGGTGAATCAGTCTATCACTGAAGGAGCTCTCCAGAGCTTTTATCTCCTCCTTGATCAGCTTGTCCAGTCTCTTCCTATCTGCAGCCGAGACACTGCTGCCCCAGCAGACCACTCTGTAAAAGATGGCTGATGCCACCACAGTGTCAAAGAAGGTCTTCAGGAGCGCCCCCTGCACTCCAAAAGACCTGAGCCGCCTCAGCAGGTAGAATCTGCTTTGGCCTTTCCTGTACAGTGCTGTTATGTGATCAGTCCAGTCCAGTTTATTGTTAAGATGAACACCCAAGTACTTATAAGATGTCACCATCTCAATGTCCTTTCCCTGGATGTTCACCAGTGTTGGGGGGAGGAGTCTGTGCCTGCGGAAATCCACCACCAGCTCTTTGGTTTTACCCGTGTTGATCTGAAGGTGGTTCCTCAGGCACCAGTCCACAAAGTCCTGGTTCAGTTCTCTGTAATCCCTGTCGTCCCCATCTGTGATGAGGCCGACTATGGCAGTTGTCAGAGACCTCCTGCAGATGACAGGTGGGGGTGTGGTATGAAAAGTCTGCAGTGTAGAGGGTGAAGAGGAACGGTGCCAGCACTGTCCCCTGTAGGGCCCCCGTACTGCAGACAACCAAGTCCGATACACAATCCTGGGTCCTGACATACTGCGGCCGGTCCGTGAGATAGTCCAGGATCCAGGATGTGAGGTGATTAGCCACCCCTACGTGCTCCAGTTTGTCCCTCAGAAGTGCAGGCTGTATGGTGTTGAAAGCGCTGGAGAAATCAAAGAACATGATTGTCACAGAGCTTCCAGGCTTCTCCAGGTGGGAAAGAGCTCTATGCAGATGACGGCGTCGTCCACCCCAATGCCAGGCTGGTAGGCAAACTGCAGCGGGTCCATTGAAGGGCCTACTGCGGGGCGAAGACGAGACAAGACCAGGTGCTCCAGAGTCTTCATGAGGTGTGATGTTAATGCCACTGGTCTGAAGCTGCTGAAGTCCTTAATGTCCGGGGGAGCGGGGGTGGGGGAGGTGTCGAAGCAGTGTGCCAGGAGTGTAGGTCAGGGGGAAGGTGCAGGTGAGGATGAGGGGGGTTGCAGCTGTGATGTCTGGGCCAGCGGAGGGGCAGACTGATCAAATCTATTGAAGAACAGATTCAGATCATTCACCCACTTCTGGTCGCCTCTGGTCTGGGAGTCTGGTTGTTTGTGTCCTGAGATGGTTTTCAGACCTCTCCAGACTCCGCTGACATCACTCTGCTTCAGCTGTTCCTCCATCTTCTTTTTATATCCTTCCTTTCCCCGCCTTATTTCCAGAGTTAAAAGTTCTCCGCTTCACCTTCAGGAGAGCTTTTAACTCTGGAGTAAACCTGGGTCTGGTGTTGGAGAAGCAGCATACAGTCCTGGTGGGTACGGTGCTTTCCACACAGAAGTTAATATAATCCGTAATGCATGATGTCAGTCTGTCAGTGTTCCTCCCCATGGGAATCGCTGAGTACCTCCCACACAGTGGCCTCGAAGCAGTCTTTCAGGGCCTCCTCGGCCTCCTCAGACCACCTCTTCACAGTGCGGGTGGTTGCTGGTTCTCTCTGCACCACAGGTCTTTAGACAGGCAGAAGATGAACCAGGTTGTGATCAGCTCTTCCCAGGGGGGGCAGGGGGGGTGAGTGATATGCCTCCTTGGTGTTGGCATAAAATAGTGTTTTATTGTCTCTGGTGTGGCAGGAAACATCAGGAACTAATAACCAGGAACTAATAACGGCACTGAAAAATCCTTCCATGTGATAAGTTTAACTGATTTTAAAGGTGACTGGTGTTCTGGATCATGTGATGATCTGACCACTGAAAGAGGTTTTTACACTACAAGTCACATTCACACACACCAACACACACACACACACACACAAAGTGTGTTTATAATTGTTTCTCTTCATCACTATGAGACAGATTCATCTCACTCAACACTGTCATCCACGACAACAGCTGACCATCTGTGTGTGTGTGTGTGTGTGTGTGTGTCTGTATGTTTTACCTGGTATCGTGTTGTCGAGACAAAAAGCCAGAAAACCGCCAACAAACATTTCAGTCGACAAAAGAACCATCAGAATCTGATCCAGCTCCGTCAGACCTGAACACACACACACACACACATTTTACACAAACTTTATTTAAACCTTACAGTAATGATGTCTTTGACCTTTGACAGAGACTTTCGGTCACAGCCGAGATGAATGATGTCCGTACAAAGGAGCTGATCCTGGATCAGATTATCACAAAAACCTTCGTCTACGTATGAAAATCAAAACATGTAAAATGAAAAACGATTCATCGAGAGTTAAACTTTATCCAGAAAAATAACAAGACGTTACACACACACACTCACCTGTGTTGATGGAGTCGGGGTGTGCGTCCAGGTACGTTGGCAGAGTCAGACCGAAAAACATTGAGAACCCAAGAACGAAAAGATTTCTGGATGAGTTCAAATCCACCAGCTGCAGGTTAGACAGCCCTACAGCCGTGATCATACCTGAGAGACACCGACACACCTGGATCATTATGACATCACTGACAGACCTGGTTCATTATGACATCACCGACATACCTGGATTATTATGACATCACTAACACACCTGGATCATTATGACATCACTGACACACCTGGTTCATTATGACATCATTGACACACCTGGATTATTATGACATCACTGACACACCTGGATTATTATGACATCACTGACACACTTGGATTATTATGACATCACTGACACACCTGGATCATCATTGACACACCTGGATTATTTTGACACCACTAACACATCTGGATTATTATGACATCACTGACACACCTGGATTATTATGACATCACTGACACACCTGGATTATTATGACACCACTAACACACCTGGATTATTATGACATCACCAACACACCTGGATTATTATGATATCCCTGACACACCTGGATTATTATGACATCATTGACACACCTGGATTATTATGATATCACTGACACACCTGGATCATTATGACATCAATAACCCACCTGTACAGGTACAGGTGGGTTATTGATGTCATAATGAACAGATACAATCTGTGACAGTGACTCACCGAACAGCGTGCAGAACATCCCTCCTAGGATGGGATCCGGCAGGGAGGCGAACAGAGCCGTGAACTTTCCGACTGATCCCAGAATCAACATGATTCCTGCTCCATACTGCACCACCCGCCTGCTGCCCACCTGCACAGAGGGTCAATGAATCAAACGTCCACCTCATGAACTGACTGCAGGAAACTCTCCTGGTCTTTGTTTAATATTCACACCACCTACTGTTCCGATCGTCAGCTGCAGTTTGACCAAAATACCAGGATGGACTTCCTGTCTCATTTTACAGTTCTCACACATACACATTTTTCTGACCCACAATCCCTTGCACAGTGGACAATACGTCTCATCGACTGAGCTGCAGATGGATGGTAACTTAACACCATCTGATAGAAGCTGTGAAGACGGCGGACAATTTGTTTGAGTTTCACAACTTCTGTGTTTAATTAATATTTAGATAAACATCCGACCTGAGAACTTGTTGCAAAGACATACGGACTAGTTAAAGACGACTAGTTTTAGAGACACAAGTACTAGTTGGAGAGACCTGAGGAATAGTTTGAAGCCCCTTTTACACCGCCAGATTTTCCGCAAATGTTGGGCCGTTTTGCCTGCAAACTGTGAGTGTTTAGACACACAGACCAAAGAGACCATTAACCGTCAGATGACGGGACGGTGAAGAACGGGCGAACTTACAAGAGAATCACCGCAGGACTGACCAGCTGCGGCTTCCCTCCCACGTCACTGTTTACGTCACACGCTGAGCTACATGTTTTGTTACTTGCTCACGCCCCCCATTGCCCCGAAAAAGGCACATTCTGTATAAACAAAAGTAGGTAGGCGGCATTTTGCTGCACTCCCCGATTTTGTTTTTATACTGCCAATGCTGAAAAAAGACTGATTGGGCTTTCCTGCAAATTTGCACAATT